CACATGTACTAGGCCTTGGGGTCTACCTCAACATCATATATATATATATAAAATGGATATATTATATTTAATATATTTTATATATTTTATATATATATAATGGATCTGTCTGTAAAATGCCCGCCAAGAGAGCATGAGGGCCAGAGTGTCCACAGTACCCATGAAAACAACAGGCTTAGTGGCACACACATGTAATCCTAGCACTGAGCAGCGCATAGACGGGCTGCCCCTGCAGCGCCCTGCGTGGCCAGTCTGGCCTTCTAGCAAACTGGCTTCCGACGCGCCAGTCCTTTCTCCTCTTGACCGCCAGGGGGTGCCAGTAGGCCATGACGCCTTCCACTCTTCTTCTCTATGACCCTCGCTGCGGGCTAGATGACCCGGAAGCCGTGGCGCTGTGAGGGGTAGTGCTTCCAGGTGGGAGCGAGGTGACCCCGGCTGCCAAAGCGGTAAGACGGAGTAGCCATGGGGGCGCACCTGGCCCGGCGCTATGTTGGGGATGCCTCGGTGGAGCCTGACCCCCTGAAGATGCCTAGCTTCCCCCCGGAGTACGGCTTCCCGGAGCGCAAAGAGCGCGGTGAGCTCCGTGCGCAGGCGCGACCGCAGACCCGGCGGAACTCAGTGCTGCCTGTCTGCAGAGGGTTCGGGTTGGGAGGGCACCTGACCTCCTTGAATCTGGGGGCTGTGCGGGCGTGGCCGGAGCAATGGGCAGGGGACTAGACAGCGGGACAACGAGGCTGCGCCGGTGCGCTTCGTCCTGGGCACAGCGCAGAACGTTGGGACATGTTCTTTGCACCTCCATACAGTGTCACTCATTTAGCTGCGTACAATAAATAATACAAGCTCGGGTGATGGGGCGGTCTTGCTGTGCACTTGTCCTGTCCCGTGTGATGGTGCTGGGGATGGAACCCAAGGCCTTGTGTGCACTCGCATGGTTCTCGTTCTTCCTATGTAGGACAACCACAGGCTTACAGAGTGATAGCTCTGGACAGTCCTAGTTTGGCACTTGGGATGCCCCAGGGTAGCAGATAGACATTGACACTGTCTTCAGGGAGCCCATTGGGCAAAGCAGTGTATCCACGCAGATCTGGGAGGCAAAACTTGAATGTGGAAGCGGCCTTCGTGACAGGCAGTGGAAACAGAGGCTAAAAGGGGCATGTGTGATGAGACCGATGAAGCTGGTTCCAAGAGGGACAGGGCTTTCATTTGTAAGCAAAGGAAAGACATAAATTTGCTTTGCCAAAAGGTTGTGGTGTAGGCTAGAAGATGGCTAGGTCAGTTTTCAGCCTACAGTCCCTTTATCACCTGACACCCTTCTTTGCCTGCAATCAGAATGTAGCAGCACTTCCTGCTTGGCTAAACCAAACCCCTGGTCAAATTCAGCTAGCTGTGCTGAGCTAGCACAGGCCCGTGTGCTCAGGGAGGCTAGCCTTCATGATGTTTCTGCAGCTCTTTACTGTCTCTTCCTCCATCCTAGCATGTGTCTGTGAGCGAGCAGGCGCAGCAGCCCCTTCCACAGCCATGCATCCTCAAACTCCTCATTTCAAGTGCCCCATTCCAGGTGAGCACCTGCATATCCTCCACCCCACCCTCGGCATTGCAAGGGCTCTGCTGCAGAATGTCTCTTCAGTCGGCTGTCAGCACGCTGATACAATGCCTGCAGTGGTTATGATACATCCTCCCGGACGCAGTCATGGTGGTGGGTGAGAGCAGCAACCCCTGCAGAGACATCATGAGTTCCTTGGGTACCTAGCAATCTGTCTCACAAACAAGTGTAAAATCCCATTCAGGCCCCACCTTCTCAACCTTTCCCCCTTAACTGAAGGGCTTCTCTCAAGGCTGTCCAGACCAGCCCCAACTGTATCACCATGCTCTTATTGTCTTTCTTAAGTTCTACCTTGGTCACCTCCACCTCTGACCAATTCTTCCTCAGCTCCATGTTGGAGGCCTGGAAACTGAGGCCTCCTCTGTTCTGTCTTGGAGGCAGCTCCCAACTGCCCAGTTTATCTCCAAGGGAAGCCTTAACCCTGAACTTATGAATGGCATTGCTGACTTTTCTTTTACTACTGTTGGTTTTAGGGCTTTGTTGGTGTGTGTGCTGGCCAGAAGTCAGCATTCAGAGTGTCTTCCTCAATTCACTGTCTACCTTTCCCCAGGACCCCACTCCACCTGCTGCTGCCTTAATTTTTGAGAAAGCGTTTCACTACGTAGCACAGGCTGGCCTCAAACTCCAGGTTGCCTCTCTCAGCCTCTTGAGTACTGGGATTACAGGAGTAAGCCAATAGGTCCAACCTGAATTGTTTTGCTTTTGAGACAGGATCTTGTTACATAGCTAGCCTCAGACTTAAAGTCCTCATACCTCAGGCTCCAGATTGCTGAGATTACTGGTATATACTCCTGTGCCTTTTAATAGCTGTCTTGTACTCTGTGGTCTCAGAGCTCTGTCTTCCCCTTAGGCCTTCCCATCCTAACCTTACCAAGTTAGGGAAGCAAAGGACAGTTCTTTCCTTGTGCATAGGTCAAAACCCAGGAGGTGGGAAAGGTCCTGACACTAGTCCTGTTGCCTCAAGGCTTCAGCACCCATTCAAGCTGGAATGCTCTTGCCACAGGCATCTATCTGCCTAGCTCACCCCTCGCCTTCTCTTGGCCCCCTTTCCAGCACTGCTTCTCCCTGGTTTGTTTTGCTTTTTCCTCCGTAGTCAGTAAGGCTGCCAGCCATTCAATTATTATGTTCTGCCTGCTTTGTCTCCCTCTGAAGATGGATACCATCTATCTGCCTGGCTCCTGCTGTATTCCTCCAGCTTAGGAGGCAGCAGTATACTTCGGGAGGCTTGCTGCTGGCTTCTCTGGTGAACCAGAAATAAAAGGCAGAGCTCCAGGTTGAGCCTCCTTGCGCCTGGAGTACAGAGGTGTAGAGTGGGGGGACAGAGTTGGCCTCATCAGCCAACTGGGGTAGAGCTATCAGAGCTATCAGATTTAGGCCCTACAGGACTGTAGAGAAACAGGTGGCTACTGTTGGGGCTTGAGATCCAGGGAGAGGGCAACAAAGGTGGCAGAGAAAACCTATCCCGGTGACAGGTAACCCTGTTGAGTCACATTTGGGTACCAGGTTAGAAGCCCAAAAGGGGTATAAGGACCTGAGCCTACATGAGAAAGAGGATGGTAGCTGGAAGCAGAGTGGGAGACAGCATCCCTGAGAGGAATGACAGCAGCTGACTGGAACGTGATGTGGTTGTGCAGTGCTCAGGATTTCCCAAGGCCTCACACATGCTAGGCAAGTACCCTACCACTGACTTGCACGCCAACTGTTTTCTCTATATTTTTTAAGATTCGTTTATTTTCTTAATTATGTGTCTGTATAGAGATTTGGCCGTAAGAGTTCAAGTGCCAGATGATGGCAGGGAAGCCCCTGGAGCTGAAGTTACAGCAGTAGTTAGGAGCTGCCCAACATGGGTTTTGGAAATAAAACCCCAATTCTCTGCAAGAGCGGTATACGCTCTTAACTGCTGAGCCATCTCTCCAGCCAATTTGTTTGGTTTGGTTTAAGACAGGGTGTCTCTGTGTAGTCCTGGCTGTCCTAGAACTCACTCTGTAGACCAGGCTGGCCTCAAACTCAAATCTGCCTGCCTCTACTTCCCAAGTGCATGTGGCATCACCGCCTCTAATGGAACATGTTTTAATGCAATGAAGTAAGGCGAGGACCAAGGCACAGGTGGAGAGGAGGTAGGCCTGCAGACCCAGCAAGGTCAAGTCCTACTAGCTAACCAGGTATGTCACTGTGGGACACAGTGGGTACAGGCTGGGGTGTTCCTATTCCTAACCACCTCCTGAAGGGTCCAGTTTTGCCAGTGGTGGGAAATCCCAGCCCAGAGCTAGGTCATCTACCTGAGGCTCACACTTGAGTAAACACACATACTACGTTTATGTGAACATCAGACCTCACAGAGTTCCGCAGTCCTACAGGCTAGTGAGGGGCCATCTTAGTTTGTGTAAGCACACGTGATGCTGGTCACACTGGCACCACCTCATGATGCATCGCTGAGATGCCACCACAGCTCTGTTGGCTTAGTTGACAGCCAGGCTGCTTCCATGCTGGGCCTGGCATCTTTCTGTACTGAGGAAGCAGGGGCTAAGCATGTGGCTTAGGGGCTGAGGGGGTGAGTTCGGAGCTTCAGCTCTATTGGAGCTTTTTGGAAAACAGAATCTCTAGAGGAAGAGACACAAGAGCCCTTGCTGCTTTGGACAGAGGGTACAATGAGTCACCCTTCTATAGGGGTGTGGCCATAATACAGATGGGTTCTGCTGAACCAATGAGGGGCACCCTGGTGTGTGGCTTCCAATTGTGCCAGTGCACACTGGGGGTCGGTGGAGTTGGGGACTGGCTGCAGTGCTGAGCCTCACCTCCCCACAGTGATGGTGGCCACGCAACAGGAGATGAACGATGCCCGGCTGACACTGGAGCAGCGTGACTACTGTGCCCACTACCTCATCCGGCTGCTCAAGTGCAAGCGGGACAGCTTCCCCAACTTCCTGGCCTGCAAGCACGAGCAGCATGACTGGGACTACTGCGAGCACCTAGAGTGAGCCTGCCCTACACCCGCCCACACCAAGCCGCCTAGAGAGGGGCAGAGTTAGAATTCCAGCGGGAGGCCTCACCCCTAGCTAGGGCTTCCTGGTGGCTGGGAATGGTGTTGGGCCAGGGCCTATGGCACTGACAGCCTGTCTGTTCTGCCCACAGCTATGTGAAGCGCATGAAGGAGTTTGAACGTGAGCGGCGACTGCTCCAGCGGAAGAAGCGGAGGGATGAGAAGGCGGCACGGGTAGCCCGGGGCCATGGAGATGGAGAGGTGGGCCCTGAGGTGGCCCTGTAGGGATTAACCACCAGCCTGTGGACCTACCAGTGAAATAAAAGCCTTGGGTCACCTGCCTAACCGTATCTGTACTGCCTCGAGGGGTGGGAAGGAATGGTGTGGTCCCTGTACCCCTAAAGAACACAACGCCAGTGGGTAAGCCAGTTTTATTGTTGCTGCTGGAGAGCCATGGCCACAGCAGGACAGTGGGGCAGTGGATGGAGAGCGTTACTTGGCTGAGCCCATGAGGAGCTGCTCAGAGCAGGAAGGGGATAATGGGCATGCGAAGGGGCGGGTAGTCACGGAACTCCTTCAGGTAGCTGCGATGCTTGCCCTTGGCCCAGATAGTCATCTGGGTGAAGCCCACCAGAGAGAAGAGGGCCACTGTGGACAGAATGGGTTATCAGAAATGAGGGTGTCTGGCTGGAAGGGCAGGGCACTGCACAGGAACAGACACTCACCTGGGACACACTGCGTCATGATGGCAAAGCCAATCCAGGACCCTACCTGTGGACAGCACAAGAGGGTGAGAGCACAGAAAAGACCCAGCATCGTGTATGTTCCCAGAGAAGGAAGGCAGCAGCCTCACCAAGGTCAAGCTCTATTCCTCCCCACAACCCACTACTACACTTCACTTCATAAAGGACCTTAAACTTGGGAAGAGGAAGGCAGTCCCTCACCTCATAAGTATAGTTGGGACAGGACACCAACAGAAACAGCCAGGTGAAGGGATTCTTGGTGGGGTATGGAATCTTCCTGGTTTTGGACCCTGGCATGCAAGACAAGGGTAAGTCACCATCACCCAGCTCATCCAGTCCGAGCCTCAGCCCCAGCAGGCCACTCACCAGCCGGCCGAAGGTCCCGAAGAGCCATGTGAATGGAGAAGTTGCCAAGCTGACAGGTCTGTCAAGGAGAGAAACTGTCAGTCCAGAGCCCCTAGCCTCACCCCAACCCAGCCACACCTCACCACTCTTGGTTGCTGCCCCAGCCTCTTTACCACAAAAACGACCAGCGCCAGCTTAACCTGCTGAACTCCATAGGCTGCAGAAAAAGCAGAAGAGCCGTAAGAGGGAGGTTCGTGGTGGGGGTCATCTGGGGTAAAGGCACTGTCTGAGCCCACTTACTAGGGGGTGTGTAGAGAGGGTGGTTGATGTAATAGGCCATCCATGCAGCAAAGCCCCAATAGTAGGTGCAGTTCTGAAAGAGAGCAGAGCAGTCGGCCTGGGCGGGAGGGTGCTGCTGGTGGGCAGAGCAGAAAGAGCAGGGCAACTCACCTTGAAGATGTTCCGCAGGGGCATGGTTCCGTGAGAGAAGCGGTGCACGAAGAGGGTCTCCAGCAGGCGCTTGATGTAGTGGAATGAGTGGCACATGCAGGCAAGGCTAGTGGGGTAGTCAATTCAGCTGGAGCTAGTCCAGCCCTCCACCCCACCCACCCACCTTTGTCCAGGCCCCACTCACTGCACCACTGTGTGCCGACTGGAGGTGAAGTCGTATTTGTGGCCATAGATGAAGGGTACCCGGAAGTAGAAGAGCAGGTAGATGAAAAGGGGCCCAGCATACTCAGTCAGGAAGACCTGGGAGGACCCAGAGACACGGTGAGTGGCCCCAGGATGGCTGAAGGCAGAGAACAGGGAAGGAGTCGGTGCTCACCGTCACCCAGCTGATCTGGGCCCCCAGGTCCCGGAAGTAGAGTGTGGCTGTGGTGCCCACGGGCAGCTTCTGCAAGACATCCTCATCCTTCAAGGACTTTCCCTCTAGGAGATCAGTCAGTATTCAGTTACTGTCCTGGTTTCCTGAGCCCAAGAGCCCAAGGGAAAGCCTACTGGACAGCTGTACTCACTGGGGTCCAGGCGGAGGGACTGGCGGGCAGGATACCACTGCGGGTCTGCCGGGAAAAGGTGACAGGTTGCAGCACCTGGTCTGACAAGGTGCAGCCTGCCTACCCTCCTAACTTGGAATGCCTCTCAAGGCTCCCAAAATTTGGGACCCTCAGCTCCTCCCACCCTGTGCAAGGACAGGCAGGACAGGCAGTGACGGGATTTTTGTCCTTTGATAGCACAAGAGCATTCCTGTCAGTGGCCACACAGGGGCAGCCTGCCCAGTCAGCCGGGCCCGACAGGGTGTTTCACAGGGTGCTGACAAGCTAGCTCTACAAACCCCTGAGGAAGAGGCATATGGACCCATGCCCCAACCAGACGGGTGGCAAGATTGGAGATAGGTGTGTCAGGGGCTCAGACTCACGAGTCTTGGTGAAAAGGTTCTTGATTTCAGCAACAGTGGCCTGAGGCTCCACCTGAGAGAACAGAGTATCAGCCCTGAGGGAACCAGACCCAGGATGGGGGAGGGCAGCCAGGCACGGGCAGGTCAGAATCAAGCTGGCTGACTTCAGTGGAGTACATATCTGTCCTCCTTTCCAGACACAAGGCCCTTCCAAGCTGCCTTGTCCTTTCCACTACCAGGCAGCCAGTTACGGATCATAATGTAAATATCTGAAATATAGGATAGCTGATATGCAGCAACCCCCAACTGGGTCACGACCCACAGGCTGGGAACTGCCGCTCTGGATGAAGGTAATCCCTGTGTACCCTCTGAAGGGCAGGATGGGGCTATGAGAAGAGGCACCCCTGGCACTTCACCCCCAGGATCACAGTCCTACCTTGTCCAGGAAACACAGCTTCTCCCTCGTCTTTGCATCCCGAATCTCCACCTCAAAGAAGAGAACCGCCTTTTTATGCTTCTTGGCCGCCTTGTGGGGCATGGGCATGGGCAGGCCATCGAGGCCTTGGTGGGCCTCTTTGGCCACCATGCTCAAGCTGATATCCATGCCACTGCCAGCCCCACTGCTCTGTCTACCAGGCTGTGGTGCCCACTGCCAGCCGCCAGCCCCCACCTCCGACCTCCCCTCACAAAGCTGCTCTGAGCTGGGCTGGGCAGCATGATCAAATTCTGCCGAGGTGCTGGAAGGGAGCCTGTGTCTGACCAGGCCCAGCAAGCTTCAATGCCAGATGTAATCTGAGTGGCATCAGGGCCTGGCCCAGCTAAATATAAAACCATCCCAGCCAGAGTCCCCCACAAGAGCCACACCACACCACAGTCCTCCCCTGGGGGCTACCATCAAAAGAGCAGTTGAGTGGACACAGGCCCTCAAAAGTGCCAGGGGCAAGAAAATCACCCAGAGCAGGGGAAAAGCCCACAGCCAGTGGCAAGTGTGGAGAGTCCAGCCCCAGTGCCCAGCTCTGGCTGGCAGGTTCCTGAGGCTGGAAAAATGCCAGCTATTTAGAGAATCCGTGAGACAGATCATCCATTTCCACTTCTAAGCTGTAAGGAACATTGGATTATTTCCCTTGTGCATTTGTGTTCCCAGGGAGGTGACAAATTCCGGAGTTATTGGTGCAGAGTACCTATCCCTAAGTGTGGAGAGGAAGCAGTCAGCAAGGCCCTCCACCTCTCTTTACCTACCTCATTTTTCACCAGGTTCAAAACCCCTGCATGGTAGTCCACCACATCAGGCCAACATCAATGTGTTCACTCATGTATGGCCCTCTAAAGCCCTCAACACAAAACCCAGGCCAGCCTAGACCACTAGGACACAGCCCCCAAGGACATATCCCCAGGCTGGGGCTGGAAAGCAGTACACAGGGGCAGAGCAAGAAGGCAGGAGCCCCAGGGGATCTGAGCCATCTGCCCCAGAAGGTCAGAGAAGACTACTGGCATGTTCAGCTCAGCCATGCTGGCTGAGAGAGGCCTAAGGAGTGTGGGGATCTGTCACTTCTCATTCTGAAGGAGGGGGCATCACTCTGGCCACTGCCACCCACATGCTCCTAACAGCAGAGGTCAAGGCAGAATCCCAGGGCCCCTCCTTAGCCCTGGCCTGCAGTCCCAGGGCTGCTGGGGTCCCTGAGAGGACATGCCTGGAGCAATATGGGTACTGGCACAAGGGAAGTGTGTGCAAGTGTGCATGTGTGCATGTGCAGGCAGGGAGGCCTACACAGTGAGCCAGCCCTGCAGGGCCTAGACCCGCGCTCAGAGCAAGGCTCCTATGCCAGGCAGTGGCACCCAGGCCTGCTTGCCCACCGATGCCAGAGCCTACGTCGGGGACGCAGGACAGGAGAAAGCAGGTATCACCTGCTGTCATCAGCACACCCTGCCGTACCCCGAGGCCTGAGGGGCAAACGACAGAATCCACACAAGGATAATCAATACCATGCTAGGCGGTCATACACTGAGACCCCACTTAAGAGAAATGAGAGGGCATGAGTACATGAAAAATGTACTAGAAGGGGCTAGGTGGCAGCGCTCTAGGCTGCAGATATATTAATAGTTGCTGGGCCCCATGAGCACTGTCCACATGCTCAGAGTCCATGTGAATCACGGGAGGGCGGCACAATGTCCACTGAGAGAGAAGGCCATGGAGTTCCTGCTGAACCACTCAATAGCTTAAAATACAACCAGCCCCTCTCCCTACTGGGCCAGCTGCCGGGGAGGGCTGAAACCCTACCCTCTCCCCCAGCCAGGGCTCGGCAACAAGGCCAGAAGCCCTGGGGCACCAACTGGCTACAAGTGGGCAGCAGGAAAGCGGCATGGAGAGGGGCCACACTGGAGAGAAGCTGCCTGAACCAGAGGTGAGTCAGGGGCCTCCCACATCCTGCCCAAGCCCCAGACCTCCATAGCCATCTTCTCCCAGGCAGAGGTCGAAAAGGCCCACTTGGCCAGAGGCCATTATTGCTGCAATTTTTACAACTCTGTAAGCCTCTGGAAGTATTTCAAAATCAATTAAAAGCTATGTTAAATGTAGCAAGGAGGTTGGCTGGGTGAAAGAAACCAGATTTTCAGGCTCAAAGTGCCCAGGACCAGACCAGGACAGACAGAAAAGCAGCCTGCTGGTAGGCTGGGGTTGGGGGCAGAGGAAATGCTAAAGAATGCCCACTCTTTTTGCGTGACACAAAGGTATCAGTCACAGAGGTGGGCTGCACAATGAGATGGGATGAGATCCACTAGGTTGTATATATATATATATTTTTTTTGGGGGGGGGGGGGGCGATGGTGGTATCACTCAGGATCAGGGTCTGATTCCGTTAGACCAGGATGGCCTTAAACTCTAAAACACTCCTGTCTCAGTTTCCCAAGTGTTGGGAAATTAGTTGTCTACTGCACCCAACAGAGTTTTGTACTTTTATTTAGTCAAAAGAACTGCACTACAAAAGCTCTGACATTGAGGGATTATGTGGACTCTCACTTTACAAGGCAGATACGGTGACTCTGAATTACACCCCAGCCCCAACAAGGAACAGACACACAAAGCATTCATCAAAAAAGGAAAAAACAGAACAGCTCTAGGGAACAGGTGGGGTCTCCCCTAAGGAGACTGAGGAGTAATCAGTGTGCACCTCTTAGATCTTGGTTCACACTGCGGTCCTCCTCAACCACTGCCACCTCCATCCCTGCCCTGTACTTTTCCCACACACACCCACAGTGAGGCTAGCCTAGAGCACAAGCCAGTAGGGCACATAGGCCTAGGGTCAGAGGGCAGAGACAGCTACTGAAAGATGCCACAGCCAGGAGGGTCCTAAACCCTGAGGGCGGGAAACCAGCAGGCTCTGCCCCTCCTGGGGAGAAAGCAGCACAGCTGAGCTAAGGAAGGGAACCCTACAATAAGACAGATCCATATCTATAAAAGGATGATCCATGAGCGCACAGGCTGGGGTACGGGGATGTACCTCAGAAAGCACAATGGACAGGGTCAAAGACAAGTACAAGGGCAGGAGCCCTGGCACAGGGCACACGTGCTGGTTCTGTGATGACAGTTCCTCTAGTCTGTAAAGAATCCTCACCCAGAGGCTGAGATAACAAGGCCCAGCCCAGCCAAGAGCAATTCCTACTATCCCAAGGTCAAGGACAGAAAACACTGAGAGGCGGAAGAAGCCCACCCTAAAAATGGGAGGGTGGGGGATGGCCTTGGCAAAAATCAAGGTTGGTGCACTAGGCTCCTGTTCCTTGTTCTAAGGCTCAAAGGTAGCACTCTTGAGGTTGTTCCAGCCTGGCAGGGCAGCAAAAAGACTGTCACTGTTACAGGGATCCTACCTCCCTCCTTAGACTACTGGACACAGCTCAGCACTAGTTTTAAAACAGCAGCCCCACCAGGCATGATGGCAAATGCTTGGGATCCCAGTACCAGCAGATTGACTCAGGATCAGTTCACAGACAACCCTAGCAACATACCAAGTTTGAGGCCAACCTGAGCTACAAGAGACCCTGTCTCAAAAAAGACTACAATAGTACTCTAGCTACTCTGCACTGTCCCTCTGCCTCTGCAGCGTGCTCAATAAACTGTTGTTTTAGACAGACAGAGAGAGACCCAGGAGTCCTTCCACCTGTCCTAGGCCTGGCTGGTTTTTAGCACCACAGTGGTCCCAGGTAGGTCCCAGCTCAGTACTATCCCTAGGGAAAAGGTTACCAGGATCTAGCTGAGGTCCCCTCCTAGTTCCCCCCACCCTTTCCTGGCCACTCCTTCACCTCCCCAGGAGTCTTGCTCTGCTGCCAAACCACAGCATATACCAGCTATCTGATGTGAGAGCCGCCTGCTCCCTGGAAGCTTCCGAGCCTACACAGCACTCTAGGCTGCCAGGCTTCACAGCCCTGGTTCTGAGGTACCCACACTGAGAAAACAGATCCGCTCACCAGGCTCTAGCCCCCACAGAAACTGGGGTGTCCACCAATGGTGACCCAGAGCTGACTGAAGTGGCAACACAAATTCTCTGGACACTAAGCTTTAAAAAGACCACTTCCTCTCTGTGGCACTTGATGGGCGAGCCGCTTCCTCAGCTGGCGGGGGGGCTCTTTCCAACTGCCAATTAGAGATAACAAAAGAAGAAAGGGAGGGAAGAAGAAAGGAGAGAAGGAAGGGAGGAGCACATGAACATTTAAACATCTTCCATCTAGAATAAATGCTACCAAAAGTAAACCTTGGGCCAGGCATGGTGGTACATGCCTATGATCCCAGCACTGGGAGGTGAAGGCAGGAGGATCAGAAAATGGGAGGCCAGCCTTGAGTTGGCCTTTGTTATAAACCAAGACTTTGTCTCAGAAAACAAAAAGGAAAAAAAGCACAAGAATATCATACAAATGGACTGATTGTGGCAGATGTGCAAGAGAGCCAGCCAGGCGCTGGCAGAGCACCCAGGCCCCTTAACTGCAACCTTGACTGCATCCATTAAGGGACCCAAGGTCAGAGGGCTGACAGGATTATGCCCCACCCAGCTAGTGGCAGTGAGCCTGAACACAAACAAGAGGCCATGTGGGAGGAGAAGGAAAGGGGGCCATGAAAGCCAGCGGAGGTGGCAATACTTTCCATTGTCCCCCTGTGCCAACAGATGGGAAGGACAGCCAGCATAGACAGTTCTAACCATTATGGTCAAGTAGACAGCTGGGGTGCAGGACCAAAAGAAAGTCATGAACCTCACTCTCCCATTCACCAGCAGAGACCTTAGGGAGCCACCATCTGCCTCCCTACACTACCCTCCCCAGGCCTGGGGTAATGCTCTAAGTACCCAGCACTACCAAGCCTTTCTCCCAATTCCAGCCTCTGTCAAGGGGGCAGGGGCAAAGGGAAATACAAACAGCTCTTGACACCAAGGCTGAGGGAAACCAGGATGAGGAAGTAGAGAACAAGGACAGAGTAGCAGCTGGGCATGGTAGCACACACCAGTA